TGCAGAGTGTGTATAGTGAGTGCAGTGTGTATGGTGAATGTAGTGTGTTTGTAGTGAGTGCAGAGTGTGTATAATGAATGTAGTGTGTTTGTAGTAAGTGTAAATTGTGTATAATGAATTTAGTGTGTTTGTGGTGAGTGCAGAGTGTGTACAATGAATGCGGTGCATGTAGTGTGTTTGTAGTGAATGCAGAGTGTGTATAGTGAATGTAGTGTGTAGTGAGTGCAGAATGTGTATAATGAATGCAGAGGGTGTATAGTGAATGCAGTGTGTTTGTAGTGAGTGTATAGTGAATGTAGTGTGTTTGTGGTGGTGGGGTGTGTATAGTGGATGCGGTGTGTGCGTGTGCTGGATGATGTGTGTCTGGCGTAGATGATGTATTGGGTGCTGTGGATGATGTGTGTGTGTGTGCTGGATGAGTGTGTGTGGTGCTGGATGATGGGTGTGTGAGGTGCACGATGATGGGTGTGTGTGTGCTGGATGGTGTGTGTGTGTGCTGGATGATGTGTGGTGGATGGATGATGTGGGTGCTGGATGGTGTGTGTGGGTGCTGGATGATGTGTGTGTGAGTGCTGGATGATGTGGAGTGCTGGATGATGTGTGTGTGAGTGCTGGATGATGTGTGTGTGTGTGTGTGTGTGTGTGTGCTGATGTGTGTGTGTGTGTGTGCGCGCTGGATGATGTGGTGTGAGTGCTGGATGATGTGTGTGTGAGTGCTGGATGATGTGTGTGTGTGAGTGCTGGATGATGTGTGTGTGAGTGCTGGATGATGTGTGTGTGTGTGCTGGATGATGATGTGTGTGCTGGATGATGTGTGTGTGTGTGCTGTATGATGGGTGTGTGTGTGCTGGATGATGGGTGTGTGAGTGAGTGCTGGATGATGTGTGTGTGTGCTGGATGGTGTGTGTGTGTGTGCTGGATGATGTGTGTGTGTGTGCTGGATGGTGTGTGTGTGTGCTGGATGATGTGTGTGTGTGTGTGCTGGATGATGTGTGTGCTGTGGGTGGGTGTGTGTGCTGGATGATGTGTGTGGAGTGCTGGATGTGTGTGGGTGCTGGATGGTGTTTGTGTGAGTGCTGGATGATGGGTGTTTGTGTGAGTGCTGGATGATGGGTGTTTGTGTGAGTGCTGGATGATGGGTGTTTGTGTGAGTGCTGGATGATGGGTGTTTGTGTGAGTGCTGGATGATGGGTGTTTGTGTGAGTGATGGATGATGGGTGTGTGTGTGTTGGATGATGGGTGTGTGTGTGCTGGATGGTGGGTGTGTGTGTGCTGGATGATGGGTGTGTGAGTGATGGATGATGGGTGTGTGAGTGATGGATGATGGGTGTGTGTGTTCTGGATGATGGGTGTGTGTGTGTGCTGGATGATGGGTGTGTGGGTGCTGGATGATGTGTGTGTGTGTGCTGGATGATGGGTGTGTGAGTGCTGGATGATGGGTGTGTGAGTGCTGGATGATGGGTGCATGAGTGCTGGATGATGGGTGTGTGTGTTGGATGATGTGTGGGGGGGAAGCATTTTTTTTTTACTTTATGTATAATTTTTATTTTATTCCCCCCTCATAGCTTCTTACCTTGTCAGGGGAGGGAGATGGCCTGGTGGTCGGTGGAGGGGCTTGGCGCTGCACAGGAGCCATCTGCAGCTGTATTCCCTCTCAGCTCTAACTCTCTATGAGACTTCGCCTGTCTTGGGCGTTGCCATGGTAACAGCCGCGGGTCTCGCGAGAGTTACAGCTGGAGAGGGAACACAGCGTGTGATGTCCCCTCTGTGCAGGTAGCAGGGCCGGTCCTGCAGGACAGGTAACAGGATAGGCGTTCCTGCTTTGGAAAAAGTGCAGGAACGTCGTTCCCATGCGTTCCTGCAGCACTCGAGCCCTGCCGGAAGGGACATTATCAGGAGGGGGAGGAGCTTAGAGAAACACACATGCGCACAGGTGATGGCTGCATGCCGACACACAGGTGATCGAGTTTGGGGTAAGTGAGTTTTTTCCTTATATATAGTCAGTACTGTTGTGTACAAGGTATCTATGTCCTGAGGAAAGTTCATTATGAACTGAAACGTTGACTATTGGAATAAACCTGAGAAGTTTTTTTTTTCTACAAGACCCAGAGTGCTGGCTTTTTTCATTTATCTATATATATATATATATACACACACACTTAGATCATATAGATAATATATATATATATATATATATATATATATATATATATATATATATATATATATATAAAATCTAAGTATATATTATTTTATTTTACACTGGTTTTACCCTTTATTGAACTTTATTTCAGGCAGCAGGGGGACTACCTGTCATTCTAGGCACACCCCCTGCTGGCACTGCTGTGCTGGACCTCGCGATCACATGGCCCAAGAGGGCTGAATCGGCAACAGGTGGACTGCCTGGGATGGCAGTCGCGATCGCGGCGGGGGATCGCCAGCGAGCAGGTAAGTCCCCTGGATGGCGGGGACATACTATGCCGCCCGCCGCCATTTAGAGCCGGGTCCCCAAGGACAGCATAGTACACCCGCCGTCCGTAAGGGGTTAAACATTATTCACAGAAATTCTAAACCAGTAAATCAATATTAAACACGATCATGACATAACAAAAGAAGACTGAGAAATTAAATCATGACATTGTAATGTAAACAAAATGTAGTTTTGGTAACAAGCGTTGAGAGCAAATCACTTGACAATTTAAGTGGACTATAATCTATGGCTCTCAAAGATGGGACTTTGCTGTTCTCATTATAATAAAAACTGATTTCTCTTTCTTGTGCGAGCTAAGCTTAGTTCTAATAAAATACAATTGCTTTCTCTCCATATCCCTTGGTTTTATAGCATAATTTGTTACATTTTATGCAGCATTAAAGGAACACTATAAATTGCAATGTATTGCATTGTAGGGTTAAGGGGGACAGGGACATTGCACCCACTTCAATGAAATTAAGTGGTCTGGGTGCCTAAGGTGTCCATTTAGATATTGTCGGCATGCAAATGTTGTTTTAAGAAAGTCTATATAGAATGACATCCCGGTGTTTCTTTATCAGGTACATAAGTGCTAGTATAAATTATAAGAAGCCTGACAGAGTGATTGTAACTGTATGACCACATATAATTTAAAGTATTATAGATTTCCTACAGAAAACACCATTCATTATTGTAAGATTTTTAGATACAGTCGTGTGTATAAACCAAAAGACCACCCATGTGCAGCGGTATATTAGGGGATAAAGATTAATTACTTCCCTTTAGATCTAGACTGTAACAAAGGATTCCTCAAATTCTCACAAACAAATACACAAAACAAGATACACCTAGAAAAAACAAAAGCAGAGAACATTCATAGGTAAACACCGTTTAGTAGAAATGTCCCTGCTGTAAATATTGCACTCACAGAATAAAGGAGTAATTCAAGCCCATCAAGGTTTCTTTAGATCTTGCAATGAAATTCCTTAAGGGTACATGCAAAAAAGAAGAACTGGACATAGTGTGAAATTGTAATAATATAAAAACACACTTTTATTGGAACACTTACAAGAAGTGGAAAATAAAAATGCCCGTCAAAGGTCTGTATCCCTCTCTCCAAAGTGGTAAATGGAAGAAGCAGGTAACAGGAATTCCAGGCAAAAATCAACACAGCTCTACGCTTTTCGTCTATACAATAGACTTTATCAGGAGAAGTAATAGTAAAACATATAATACAATCAAGTAAAATACATCAATAAAAGTCCTATGTCTTCTGCCTTCTTTTAAAAGTCCCTCTCGCCGTATTCCACGCCCTGTCCAACAATCCATATGCTCCATAACACCTGTTCTGAGTTCTCTCGCGTCCAAGTCTATATATGGACTTCATCACAATGCCCCACCCATATGATCTACCATGTTAACTAACGCCAGTGCTGCAGTGCCGCTGTGTTTACATTAAAAGGCCTGTAGGGACAGGCTATAGACCCAGAACCACTACATTAAGCTGCAGTGGTTCTGGGGACTATAGTGTTTCTTTAATGTGAGGTAAATTAGAGATTAGTGCCACGAATAATATACAGGGAGTGCAGAATTATTAGGCAAATTAGTATTTTGACCACATCATCCTCTTTATGCATGTTGTCTTACTCCAAGCTGTATAGGCTCGAAAGCCTACTACCAATTAAGCATATTAGGTGATGTGCATCTCTGTAATGAGAAGGGGTGTGGTCTAATGACATCAGCACCCTATATCAGGTGTGCATAATTATTAGGCAACTTCCTTTCCTTTGGAAAAATGGGTCAAAAGAAGGACTTGACAGGCTCAGAAAAGTCAAAAATAGTGAGATATCTTGCAGAGGGATGCAGCACTCTTAAAATTGCAAAGCTTCTGAAGCGTGATCATCGAACAATCAAGCGTTTCGTTCAAAATAGTCAACAGGGTCGCAAGAAGCGTGTGGAAAAACCAAGGCGCAAAATAACTGCCCATGAACTGAGAAAAGTCAAGCGTGCAGCTGCCATGATGCCACTTGCCACCAG